CCGGGGCACTCGGGGCACTTACTGAACCGGAAGACCTGAAGCCAGCAGCTCCTTCCCAGCCGGGAGTGCTAGCCTTGCCAGACGTCAATCAGGGGGCCAGCCAGGAAGCCGCAGTTTCAGCCAAGGAGGAGGCTCCAGTCCCAGACGGAAACACCAACGAAATCATGCCTGCCCCCAGCACTGGCCCTTCCCGTCGGAAACGAACCAAATCAAAGGACGAGGCGCATGTTAAGGGTGAGTCTGAGTGGGTGCCTGCAAAGTCGCCTGCGCCACCTACCCCAGAACAGCTGAGGCAAACTGTTTTGGACAACTTGACTCGCTGCAGCACCAGTGATCTTGAATCCATTGCTATGCTCCTGGGGGGGTCACCAGCACGGGTGCCCCCAATCCCCACGTCCCTGTCTGCCGACCCTTCGCCCAGTGCTCCGAAGCCGGATGCTGAGACCCAGCGGCCTCCATCTACAGATACTAAGATGCCCCCCGCAGCAGCCACTGAGACAACCGAAGCAGAAAAAAAGCAAGCAGCAGACAAGCAACTGACGCCCGAGGAAATTGAGGAAAAGAAAGCAGCAAAGAGGGCAGTGCATGCCCGCTACATGAGGTTCTCAAGGAGCTTGTTCAGCCTGATCCCCGGCTTTTGCTCTTCCATAACACGATTAGATTGCTTTAAAGAGGCGGGTTTAGGATCTGGAGTTGGGGAACCAGGGATCTGAAATTTGGGGCCTAAGCAGATATATATATAATATAATAGGGGTAATGATAACTTGGGTTTGTATCGTAGTGACGGAACTGTACTTACGTTGAAGGTGTTTTGAGCTTCAGGGAATATGAAGTGCTGTCAAGTTCCATGTAAAGATGTACCATCTTCTAGATTCCGGTCTTCTTTGGAGTCCCTTTCTACAAGGCCGCGAACTTGCAAGATTCCTGCTGTTATATACCCGAAAATCCTAAAACCCACACTAAACCCAATTTGAGTCTGGAAGTGTGTTGTCCAAGCATCGCTGCAGCAATTCGTGGGGGAATAACATGCTCAATGAGCCCAAGCCTGTATGTAGGTAACTGGGGCCAGGAGATCAGAATAACCTTGAGGGCCCCCCCTGCTAAATCATACATATATATATACATATATATATATATTTATGTATAATGCACAATTTAGTTACTGAATTGATTCATAGATTATAGCGTAATATAATATGTATATATGATATATATGACATTTTTATCTAATTCACATACTTATCCAGTTCACCTAAAGCGGGGTTTTGTGGGGCACCCAATGTAACAATGCTTTAGGCTTCCATCTCTGATAGAGCTGAGACCCTGATTGCATCATAGGAATATATTAATATTGTATATCTATTAGAGAAAGGGAGATAGAAAGAGAGAGAGCCAGAGAGAGTGATAGAAAGTAAGATATTCAGAAAAAGAGAGAGAGAGAGAGAGAGAGAGAGAGAGAGAAAGAGAAGCATAAAAAGAAAGAGAGCCAACTCCTTGAAGCCTGGCCCATGTATCTACCTGCAATCCTCATAACCTGGGCAAACCATCCAATGCCCTTGATTGTTCATGCAAAGCTTGTTACTTTATACTTCATGTAACATGCTACTGGCCAAGGGAACGGAACGCCGATGGAGATTCAAAAGATGGGGCATGCTGCTAAGAGCTGTGCCTCGTCATGTTTGCTATACTAGTACTACATCTACAGTATCTGGATCAATATTAATTTGGGGTTATAATAATTGGTTGAGCATGTAAATTCCTCCAATCAGGTCACGAGAAGTTGGAGGTGCTCCGTGAGCAGTGGGAGTCATGCGATGGGGAGTGGTCCAAGTCCCAAATCTACCTCTCCCTGAAGAAAACACAAGCAGAGCGAAAACGTGGGCAGCGGCGATGGATGACAAGAAGAGACCTCATCATTAAGTACGATTCTATCACCATTGCCGACCGCATCATAGCCAATAAAATGAACAATGAGGAGACACGGGCAAACCAAACGAAAGCTCACCCTGACGACCCGGACAACGAGGACTTCACAGCTAGGGGGCCTGGTCGTGTAACATGTGCAGGTGTGCATGTAATTACAATGCATATATAGTTTGTAAGTTCTGGTTCTTAGTGGACTGTTCCCCCCTATAGCCCAATTAACCTACTCTGATCCAGGATGGGGTCGTAGAATGCAGAGCCGCATAATGAGTACTAGCTAGTACTAGCACTTCATCAATTTTTGCAAAAGCAACAATACTTACTCCGAGAGCTCGATTGGCGGTTTATGTCGATCTGTAGAAGTGGTACCATGCAGGAGCTTCGCCTGTACCTCGTCTGGGATATGGAGACCGAGACAACGGAAGAAGATATGGTCTTGGACCAGTTGTTCCAAGCTGCAGCAGAGGAGAATGACCATGATGAGCATTCAAATGCTCGTCCCCGCAAAAAGGAGAAGAACAAGAAGCGCAAAGCCAGCTCTTCGACAGCGGAAAGTGAGGATATAATTCTGCCCAGCAGCATGTTGCGTCCTGTGCTCATAATCCATGGCCAACCTGAGTTTAGCTAGCAGTTTGGGGTTGGATGGAGGATATCGACTTCTATGCGTAGATGCGTATTAATCTGCGTGGGTTCAAATCACGGAGACTGCCTACTTGGGATGCCTACCTTATTGGACTTCCAACACTTGGGGGACTTGTGCATGAACAGGATTCTTCTGTTTCTAGGAGTTCTGATGCCTACTGCGCAATGTTGCAGTGCCGGCTAGGGGTAGCAATGGTATGGATCGTTTTTATATAAGCTTGAGCTCAGGGTCCGGGTTTAGGGTAATAGAGCTATATAGATATATGATAAGGATGGAGGGTTCTGGGCTGCGCATCTGGGATGTAGGGTTGACAGGTTTTGGGCTGCTGTGGATTTTGGGTCGCGGATCGATCGAAGGTTTGAGTACGACTCTACAGATGCTAGTAAGGTGCTGCTACACTGCTCCTACTATTGCCGCTGCCTGCTGCCCCGAGTGCTAGCTACTGCTACTGCCAGTGTCACCAAACCTGTATATGCATGCCTCTTCAATGATCATTATTGATTCTGCTACGCTACGACTGCTGCAGCTGCGGTTTTTGCTTGAATACTTCCATGGATCCAAGAGAGCAAAATCTACACCCCTTTTATCATGGCACTGAACCGTCCTCCTTAGCCTATCTAATCTCCCCCAGCCACACTTTCTGTCCGAGGGTATGCATACAGGAGGGTACTTAGCATGTATATAGGACCCCTGAATATGCCTTATTTATCAAATAAATTCCCCTTTGGCTTCTATACCCTTTCTATACGTACATATATATATATACCTATATATACCTATATATATATATATATATTAGATCATGTCCTATTATGCCATCGCATTCATACAATATATATATATATATACGCTTATAAGGGTTGCCTCTACTGGAAATCCCCTTCTGTAAGCAGTGCTTACCCTGCTTATAAACGTCACACGCAGGACTGCGAGAGCAGCGATTCGTCATCGCCAAAGAAGAAGGGCAAGAAAGGAAAGAAATCCAACAAAGGCAAGAAGAAAGGCAAGAAGGGATCAAACAAGAAGGAAACCAAGGAGGAAAAGGAGAAGCGACTCTCCAAGGAAAGGGAGGCGTTTAAGAAGGAAGAGGAGAAGGAGAAGGAAAAGATGAAACGGGCGGTCATAGCCAAGGCAAACAAGGCTTGGGAATCTGGTTTATGCCGAATTTTAAGGCTTGCGGGTTATGTAGCTACGCAACTTCGTATAGATTCCTAGCCTCACTGGTCCTATGGAGTTTCGGGTGCTCAACCACTAGTACAGCATGGTTGTCAGACTCAAATAAAGCGGATGCAGGGCTTTCACATTGTGATCTGCTAAACCCCATGCTATGGCCCACATTCATGATCATGACTAATATAATAGTCAAGCACTCCTTTCGCAACCCTCCGTACACTGTTGCCCCTCTACCGTCCTATATGGTTCTAACCCCACGGCCACTACTACACCTAAATTGGAATGGAATCTTAATCTTCCCCTGGTACTTACAACCCAAAATCCCGATACCTTAGTTCATCATCTGCCAGGTGCTGAGTGCCATTAACGATGGCATCCGTAGAGGTCGTGACAAGGAGCAGAAGATGCAGCAGCTGTGCCTTGGCTTGGGTATTATGGTTATAGGATAGGCTATTTAGGGTTAAGAATTCAAGACTAGATAGGCCGGGTTTGGATATTCCCTTGCGCGCAATCCCCAAATTCCCGTACATGGTGCCCACGGACCCCACAACTAAATTAGAATCAATGTTGCCAACTGTCCAGTATATGCCGATTTTAGAATTCTGACAACCCATCCCACTATTTGAAACTGCTTTGCATGTACATGCCCTACTTGAAAAAAGGGGCCTCTACACTTGAGCAAACCCTTTAAAAGCTACTATACTAGGTATACTGGCCTATTTATAATATATGTAGATCGATATATATATATATATTAATATATTAATTAATGTATTATTACTATATATATATTAATATATATATTATATTAATTAATATAGATGAATATATATACATATAAATAATAGGATTGGCAGTATAGATCATTATATAAGTACCCCTCAAGGAGCCTCTACATCTCCATATATATATATATGCTATATATGTATATATATGTATATATTTTATAGTCTAACTCCCTTTGATCGAAGGTACCCGATACTAACGTGACATACTTTGAGAGAGACAACAAGGCTTATATCATAACAGCTGGAAACATCTCATGACAGGGTCCCGGGGTCCTGGGGTTTCGGAGGGGGGGGGGGGTTCAGGTCATGATGGGGTTTTCCGGTCCCAGAAAGTAATCCCGCGTCCAGGCCTGATAGCATGTGGACCCCGCAGGTTCTGTCAAGATTTTGACCAGGGCAGGCATGGTTCCAGACTACTTTGAGGGAACTATTATTTGCGCAATGGGGTTTACTAGGTCCTAGGATCTTAGAGTATAATGTAGATCGATAGAAGCAGATTACCTCGTCTCTACCTTGAGGTTCGGGACCTGGTAAATGAGCTGGAGTAATCTAATGTTGGTACGTCTGGTTTTCCTCCAGACATTGCTACGTAGAGACCACATGTGGCTTAGTCATACGAACAGGTTCACAGTAATGTGCGCCTCAGACAGTTCAGCAACCGTGCCAACCTCCCAGCTCACCTTTCCGTCGATGTGTAAAAAACCCAAAGACCTTTTAGGCAACTTTATATAAATATATATATCCTTTCCTACTTTGGCCCTGTACTGTCATCGACCCCACTATGACAACCCATCATGTAGCAGGAGCCCGGAGATCCGCAACGCCATCGCCCCGAAGCTGCAGAATGCCATTGACCTCATGACGGCTGAGCGCGACAGCTTGCAGGATGGCTTGGACAATCACCAGGAGACTTATTGTGCATGTTAAGGAATTTAGTGAATGGAGGTATGTGGCCTGCAAAGCAAGGATAACCCAATACTCATTCAATATTTCTGCCTTGATTGCGTCCATGGATCCAGATTTGATTTTTTACTCTCACTCGTATTCATTACTAATCAACACACGCTTGTTTGCTCTGAGCTCGTCTTTTTGCATTACTCTGGGGAGGACACAGCTGCGTTGGAGAGCGCTACCGCTGATGCCGAGAAGTCGCTTCAGGATTTCAAAGATTTCCTGACCCGGTCCAATTTGGGTTAGAGTGCTGTAGTGCCTCTTGCGGGGTGTACAGGTTCAGCACAGGGATGAAACCCATGCATATCACCAATAGGGTCCTCCGTGTCTAAGTTTAAATCACAGAGATTTGGGGATTCATCCTCCTCGGCTGTGACCTGTAGCTAGTGGACCATTACTTTTCTCGAAGGGGAATTTCGGGAGGTCTGTAGCTTCTACGGATCCTGTGCCATGCTCATCAGAGCAGTGCTTCTCAAGCTTGCAAAGCTGAACACGAACCTGCGTGAATGCACGCGGGAAATTGCTAATATCACCCTGGAAATCCCAGACGCCGAAAAAGCGTGCACATATGTTTATGAATTGCAACCCTTGCATGACTAGAACTTGCTGGCCAGTCACCCTTTGTGAGAAGCATCCATTTTCCTCTCACTGACCACCTGTGCTTGGGAAGTTTGGCTGTCACATGTCTGATCCGCATGCTCCACTTCTAGATCTAGTTGAGTATCGTACTACCATGCGCAGGTGCACAGGGACCGGCAGATGAATCTCATGTTATTGAGAATGCAATCGACAAGGTCAGCTCTGGCGTCACTTGACTAGATGTGGATGGCACAGCTCAATTACGCGAACAAGTGCAGTGCTTTCAATCTGCATGTACATCCTAGACCCTGAACCCGACGCACCAAACCCTAAATTAGGCTCTAGGCATAACTTATATAAACTTTACGGATCGAAGCCTGAACCTTGTGACCATAAAGGGATATTAAATAGTCGACCATCCCTATGTGTACCGGCGTACAATATGCAGGAAGGATTCCTAGTCCCTAACACTAGCCAGGCGCAATTCAATGAAACATGGGTAAATACGTGCTTGGAGCAGGTACTTGTCGAAATTGCAAGCCCAGAAACATGAGAGCAATGCCACATGAGGCCAGCTCGGTCCGGGAAGTGATGCGGGACATCAAGGCGCATATCAGAGAACCTTAGCTACGAATGAGTATAGATGAACTAGGGCCCCCCCCTTTTGTATCACGGGACTGCAAGGTCAGGGATATGGTTCCAGCCATATTATATATATATTATAAAGTATATATATATAATACATATAGTATAATAATATTAGTACTACCGGTTACTAATTTATGACTCGATTTTTTCTACTACCGGAAACAAATTGATGTAAGGATGCTGGCGATTCGATTCGTTCTGTGGATGCCCAACGTTTGGGCAGCTATGCTGAGAACAATGAGTCACGCAACTTTTGGAAAGCCCTGAGAATTCCAGTTGTGCTCTAGCGCGGTCATGGAAATACTTTTGAATAAGCTACTACTCTTCGATTCCATATGGTTTCAAAAGGCTTGCCCAATTTTGATTACACCTAACTGCCCCACATCGTCCATTAGCCGCTGAACCTCATGAACGCATTGCTGAACACTGCTAGACTTGCAATGATCAGTGTTTTCTAATTTTGTTCAAGTAAATCATCCTCATGTGACTATTAGCAGTCGGTATGCATGATAGACCGCTCTGATCAAACCTTTTTGAATGTCTAATGGAGCCATGAACCCTAGACCCTCTATGACCCTTTAATGCCCAGTAGACAAATGGTACGCATACTTGGTACTATGCAGCTGAGGAAACAGTGGAAATTTCATTGCCAATTCGCATCTCCGAGAAAGAGAATGAAATTCAGAAATGGCCCTTGCTAGATGTGCACTCCGTTGTGGATTATCTGTGGAACACTGTTGGGCTACGGATTCCCATGTGTCATGTACAAGAGTACTGGCGGCATGCTCGAGATCATGGGGTGCCTTGGGCGTTAGAGCACGAAGCAAGTGAACAGCACATCCCCCTTGGTTTATATGGAGACTCTGCCAAAATCTCCACAACTTTCAATTCGGACAAAGTGGTTGGAGTGTTCTTCAATTTTCCTTTGTGGAGACCTCATTCGATCAGGGCGTCAAGATACTTGCTATTCGCCATAGAAGAATCCAAATTGTGGGGGCCGCGTACCTTGGCAGCGGTGTTTGCGCGAATCACGTGGAGCGTCAATCTTCTTTTTGAGGGGCGGAGACCTTCTATGGACCCGCAAGGCAGACGGCTTCCTGACCCGGGCCGATACGATGGGATGATCTGCTGCGATAGATCTGTTTTCGCTGTCACAGAGATCCGCGGGGACCAGCTGTGGCAGAAACAAACTTTTCGTTGGAGTGCGTCCTGGATCTGGACATCGGCTAAAGTTTGTCACGCTTGCGATGCGAGAGCGCAAGGAGAAGGGGCAACAAACTGCTTGTACTGGGATTTCGATGCCTGGTTGCCATACGAGTTTAACAATACGCAATTCCTTGCACGTCGTATGCCTTCGCGATTCCTTTGTTGCTTGGTCTGTACTAGTTCTTCACAAGGTGCTGCTTCTACGAGGGGTTCTTAGATTCTATTCTGGGTGGGATATTTCAAATAATGTTCCGGATGTATATATAGCTCATTATATCTGCTATTTGCCAGCTGGTATAGTATATATATAATATATACATGACCTCTAAAATTCCTGTGGTTTTCTTTTCTCGTTTTCTGGGTCGAAGTATGCTATGTCAATCAACCATACCCACTATAGTATACTACTCCTGCAGCAAATTGCTGCCTGCCCTGATACCCACGAAGCCTGCGAACCTACGCATGAGCCCTTGGGAAAATCAATCAACATTCGACTATTTCAAAAGGGCTAGCATTGATTGAATTCTCCCCTTTTTTCTGTAGGCTGTCATCATGAGAATTTACCATTACTCCTACTGAGGCCCATATCTTGGAATCAGAGGTTTCCATCATGGACTGGTTCGCTTCTGCACTATGCATGCGCTGAACTTGGGGCTGCTGTATGTCTGCAATGGCGCATCCCTGACTCTCGGCTTTGTGATGCATGACTGTCATGATCACCGAAAGCCAGCTAAGCCCTAAACCTTGGGACTGAATACCCTATATCCCAAACACCCCCATGAGCCTATAATAACAATAACTATGGGACGTGCATAATTAATTACGCTGTTGCCCTATACTAGCTAATAAATGATACCAAAACCTCCCATGATTAATTTCTTTAGTCCTCCTGGTGCTGTATGGTCGGATACAGGAAATTCGAAACCCGTACATAACCTCAATTAATTTTCATTCAATTGCACTCGAGAGTGTGCCCCCAAATTCGAGAAGTAGGAAATGGGCACTGTCAAATAGATGAATGGTGGATAGGAAGTTTAATTCTTCTTGCATATTTAGTAATATTACGTACATATGATTGTTCCAAGTTTGACATGAAATGTTGGGGCCTCCTAATATTCGAGCGCTCAAATTTGCATGGATTGTTCTGATATCTTCCAAGGATCATGCTTTGCAATGAGGGTATTTTTGGGGATGCTGGCCTTCCTATGAAAGATCTTCTCGCGCTTGCCTATGCCGATTTCCGAGCCTGGTGCAAGCAGGAGAAGATCTCTTGTTCGCAGCCGCCGTTTACGCCTCCTCTCGTATCTTGACGATGTTCTAGAGTGCTAAAGCTGTTTGCCCCTATAGAGTGAAATTAAGGCAGGTGTTTAATTATATATATACATTATAAACACCATGACCAATTTTACGAGTAGTACTTACTCATCAAATCCAATCCCACGCATACTTTCCGTCTCCCGGAATCCTTGATCCATATTGCTTCATGAGGTGATCAAGAAGAATGGCGATATTCTCTTCACGGGAAAGGCGTACAACAATCGGATTGTGATGGAGTGGCTAGCCTGCCGGCTTCGACAGACCATGGATACCAACTTCAAAGATGACAGGGTTCCAGTTGCTACTCGTGCCATGCAGCCTGACTGCGCATGGTTATTGGTGTGAGTTGGGCCCTCATGTATAGCATACCCTTAATTCAGGAGCTTCAAGTAATGATAGCCGAGGCTCATCCACATAAATAGCATTGCCAAGGACCAGCATGGCCGCTTTCTTCGGCCACATGGAGCGCAGTGGGCGCTACCTGACCCTCGGGATTTACTTGTATAGTACTATAGTCCTATCTGAGCTATGCTCCCTTTAGAAATCTTGCGATGACCTTTATTAATCATCATCCCTATAGCCTATTATATATTATATTATATATTGATTAATATATATATATATAGATGATAGATAGGGCTTGAACCCCATTATAATCCCTAGCCCTTTTAAGGAATCTGTGCCTATTCTATGAACCTGTATATATAGTTATTAAGATGGATGGATGTCATATATATATGCTGGTGTAGATTATGCGTGGCATCCTTTTTTGTAGTCTGCTTGCTTGCCTAACGTCCCCAGGAGCTTTTGAAGTACAAGTAGGTTTCGGGATCTTCTATGCTAAGGACTGACGAGCAAGCTGCTTCCATTTTCCAGTCTGGCAAGATGTTCTGCAAATCCTACACCATCCTGACGGCTATGAGCCTGAGGCCTTTCTAGCTACTTCGTACTATGAGGTGGATTATTCTAGATATGAATGGGAACCATGTCAAGTTTTCTAGCTCTGAAGAATCCATGCCCTTAGGCACAACTGTTGAGAACAGTAGTATATGTATATAATGATAGCCCGGTGAAAAACTACGTACATTGTAAAGCATTATGTGAAACAGAGCAAGTTCTGGAAGCCCAAAACTGAGGGAGCATGGAGGTTCACGGGTCTTCTAGATTCTATCTAGATCATAAGATTTTAAACGGAAAAGCTCCACTATCCCAAATCAGGCTTCGCAAGCAAGAATGGCGTCTACGCCCCAAGCTTCACGTGCCCCCGGCAAGAAGCGGTTTAGGGTCGTTTAGATAGATAGAGTTTACATAGATAGATTTATATAGGCCTTGGGGTTAATAAGGTATTATATTAGCATATCATGGGTTTTTAGGGTATTTCTAGGTTTAGGCTATTTAGGGTTTCGGGGCTTAGCACTTAGGGCCCAGCTTTATATATACAAGGGTTTAATGGATTCATGTGCTGCAGCATCCCAATGAAACATCTCCCAGGGCGCATTCCAGGTGTTTTCACACGTCCTCCATGACATGCTTCGCTACAGCAACTAGGCTGACTGGTCGGGCTGGTACACAAGTCTCAACATATTAATTAATGCTTGGTCATTGTTTTTCGTCCTTTTTGCATGATCCCACTGAGGAGAAAATGCTCGGTTTTTCCATACGTTCCAAGATGAAGACGGCATGCAATGGCTGAAAAGATGCTAGGCAGCAGAAAGTTGATTGAACTATCTGCATCTGCATAAGCTGGTACTCACTCCTAGTGTGCTCATGGCCTCACCCGAACTGAGAATTGTCACTGCGACCTCACCCTCTTTATCGCGGTCGCTGGCTAGTTCAGTGCTCCAGACTGAGGCCTTCCTTCAAGCTTAGTTTGATTGACGTCCCCAACACCCTCCTAGAATCTTGGGCAGGCTTCGGGCGATGAAAAAAAAATCTCCAAGCTACTTGGCATCGATCAAAATAACATGCATGTCTAGATCTGGGATGCAGTCAGAGCCTGGATTGCTCATGCTTTCTAGACATGTCCATCTAAGGCTCAACAAGTCAGCGCAGAAGCGCATGCGCAGAGATCGATGGATCAGATGAAAAAAGTGTGCCGAGTAGAGATTTTTCCATAGGAAGCACCCCAGCGCTTTCAAGGCATTTTTGGAAGCCCAAAATAATGAAGTGTGAAATGGCAGCGCCTGTTCCCGGAACCGTCTCTGGACCAAAGCCCATAAAAGAAACCGTCTTTGGAAAGTCAGGGTTAATGTAGGAAATAGGGTTCAGGGTTCAGGGAGACACCAATTACCCAGAGAGTGCAATCTTGCTTTTTATTAAAGGGCAGACCTTAAATCATACGAGGGCCGCTAATTGTTGAGAAGATTCCAGGAGTTTTTCTTGATTGCAGGGGATTGTAAACGCCTTGGTCCATGCAAGAGGGACCCAACATTCGGAAATGCCAGTTGATAATTTCCAAAATAACAGGCCCTAATATAGACCCAAGCATATTCTATCCGTATTATGGGGACCCCTATTTTTGGGCAACCCCCTTTGCTGCGGGGCTCAGGTAGCGGTTAAGAGTTTTTGGGTGGATGGAAACCCTAAACCTTAAACCCTAAACCCAAACCCCTAAGCCCTATTCCATGAGGCTCTTCCAGGATCCCGAGTCCAAGCGTCTGATGTCGGCCCGCAGTAAGAAGTTCCAAAAGCCCAAGTCCAAAGCGACTGCGAAATTGTGAGCTCCGGGACCCTCCTTGTGCCCTTGAAATAGGGGTTTAGGGTTTAGGGTTTAGGGCTATAATGGTGGGTTATATAGGGGATTATGTAGGGGACTACTTGGTAGGTAGACTTGTATAGCCCCCCTTGAGTAGATAGAATATGGGGTATATGGGGATCTTATTATAATATACCCAAAGCCATGTTCTAGCTGCTTAAGTTGGACTATACCCTTAGATCCTTGAAACAAGGGCCTACGGTCCCTCATAGTGGTGTATATAGAGGGTAGATGGGGGGGGTTTACGCTTCAGATTAGAGTGATGGGATCAAAGGCTCTATATGCCCCTAGTGATTCCATTTCGTCTTCCGTTTCCTTGTCCATTTGATCCTACACTAAATATTCCCTAAACCGTAAATCCTACATATATATATGTAAACCATGCATATACACACGCACACCTCATAGCCCATTTTAAAGGTGTGGAACATCTATGCGCCTGTTACCGGGTTTTCAGAGACCACTAATGGGTACGGACAAGGCTCCTCTATTGCCAGGTGGCACGCGATCTCCTTGCCATCATTCCGCTTTTGTAGCTCCCACCGGAAACTTAGGCTCTAAGCGTCTTGCCTTCCTATCTCAAGTGCAGACTCACCCCGACCAAGCGTCCAGTCAGCCTGCTTGAAGATGCGTCAAATACAGGCAGCCGCGCAGTATCTACATGTAATGTATGTGTATGTACTGCAGATGCAAATGTACGTGCTTGTGTACGTGTACATGTGCAATTCCGCAATGTGTCCACGTGTGTAAGTGTGTTTGTGTGTGTGTATGCTTGTATGTAGGTAAGTATGTATGTAGGTCGGTTGGTAGGTAGACAGGCTTATTATACGCGTGTATATATGTATAGATATCTCTGTATATCTGCCTACCTGCAGATACTGCACATGTGATTCTGCGTTCATCTTTTTGTGCACTTGTCTTTGCATGCATGCATACATACATACATACATACATACATGCATGCATGCATGCATGCATTGCTACCTACCTACCTACCTACATACATACATACATACATACATACACACACACACTGACTGCATGTACTGCATGTACTGCATACGCGTGAGCTTTCAATCCTTTGAACCTTGGTTAGAGTCGTACCCGGTCCAGGTAAAAGGTTTAGGGTTTAGGGGTTTCCAAAA